TATGGAGAAGCTTTACTGAGAGAGTAGGTGTGATTGATTAACTACTATACCTCACCCTATGGTGAGCATGCATAATAGTTTGGAAACACTTTTGGCCCCGCTGACTACCAGCTGGACAAACGCCTGTCCCACAGTTGGGGATCCAAGACGATAAATCCAGGGCAGAGCAGCAGAGAAAGAAAAACAGATGGCTGGAGGAAGATGTATAGAACATACGGGCACTGGCTGACAATGGCTGAGACAGTGACAAAACATTAAGGGTGGAAGTAAGAGAGACATTTGTACCAGTGACCCTAATTCTGAGCAGGACTTGACCTCCACCTCATGAAACTTGTCTGCTGGATTATTTAGGAGACCTGAGACTTGTGTTGATGTTTTTCCTCTTCTACAGTATTCATCAGTGTCAAGAGGTAACAAATGAGAGTTGGTGTTGGGCTGTTGGAAGAGATTTGATCTATTTAACAGTTTATGGATGAGACAAGCTCAAAATATATCCCTTTTTTATGTTAGTCATGATAGATAAGGAGTCTTGTGAATGAACATTGTCACAAGCTATACTCAAACAAACACATGCTAGCAGGCAAACACAAAGATGAACACTGTGCCCTCTGTCTGCCCCAAAGGGACAAGGAGATTCTCTGTATGGGAGAAGCCCGCACAAGTAATTAAGGGATTAGTAACGGAAAAAATCAGGAAAAAATATTCCAGGGGAAAGAATAAACAGCTCCAGGGCAAAACAAACACATTGAAGGGAATAAGTGTTTACTCCCTCAGACTGATTACCTGCAACCCTCTTACCGTGTTGGCTCGTAACGAACATATTCCGTGCTCTTTCGGTGTAAACAGCCAAGAATCCTAAATAAAAACATCCTATTTTGGTTTCAGATGCCGGCCTGAAAGGTCACTCGAGGCCTCAGTAAGTGGAGGATGAGGAGTCTTTTGAGCATTCAGTGCATTTGCCATAATTGATTAATGTATTTTTCCTTCTTTCATTTCCTGTTTGCTTTCTGTTTTGGGGGGAAGTGGCAATCATTTTTAAAGCTTATAATTTAAAACTTATGTGTTTGATCATTAAAACCAGATTTTGTTTTGCTCATGGAAAAAGCTAATGCTCGCATACTGAATATGATATGCATCCAGACTTGTTTTGGCATGATTCTTCACAATGAACATTATGTTTGTCATTGATTAGCATAAAGACAGCATGGCTCTGTCCTAAGCCAACAAACCTAACCTCCCACCATCTCCAAAGGTCACATGTTGTGAATTATTTATTGTATTCAAAGCTACGGTTTTACACTGGGGTGTGCATTAAACTATTTCTTGTGTACAAGCAGTAACCTTATATTTCCAGGAGTTTTCCCATCTGTCTCTCACTACTGTGTGCTCACTACTCCTAATAGCATCATTATACAAGTGCACAGGTTAAA